CCCCAAAACCCCAAAACCCCAAAACCCCAAAACCCCAAAACCCCTTTAGAGGGTGAGAATATTGAATCTGGAGTGGAATTTTGAGTTATAGCTTTGAGAATTTTGGAATTTCTTTACTGAGTAGTGCCATTGCAGCGATCATGTTGTCTTCACTCTGGAGTAGGGCTGTGTTGACTGTTCTGACGTGCTTGAGACCATCTTCGATGGTGTGGTCCCTAGAGAAGTTAAGTCCTTCTTTATATCCGACAAGAGCTACAGGGCTCTTTGATGCAATAACCTGTGCTAGTTTTAAAGCTTCGTCAAATAATGTTTCTTTGTTCTCGTAATAGTGACTGATTAAGCCATTTTCAAGAGCTTCCTCAGCTCCAAAAACTCTAGCGGTAAATGCTAATTCTCTACCCCAAGCATCATTTCCAATGACTTTAGGGAATCTTTGAAGAGTTCCAATATCTGCGGCCAAGCCAATATCTACTTCTTTAATAGTGAACTTTGCACACTTGGAAGCAAGTCTGATATCACAAGCAGATGATAGATCAAGCCCAGCTCCTACACAATGTCCATGGATAGCTGCTATAACCGGCATTCTACATTTCTCAGCAGCAGTCATGGAATCTTGGAGTATCTTGAGCATCTTGTGCCAGAGGATGGCTTTCCTACCTACATCTTCACTATATTCCCCAACTTTGCCAGTGATATTATTGTTCGCATCCATAATATCTAAGCCAGAGGTGAATGACTTGCCGTTTCCCTTAAGAACTACGACTCTGACGTCACGAAGGGAATTAATATGCTCAAAGGCAGTTTTGAGGTCTTCAAACATTACCCAGTTCATGGCGTTGTGCTTCTTTGGCCTATTCAGGGAAATTACTGCTATCTCTGGCTGAGGGAACTCTAGTTCGATAGCCTTGAAGCTATATTTGTTTTGAAACCTTCACTTACGTAGGTACAGATTCCATTAATAATTATTTATGATTATTTTATGGGGTTTTGGGGTTTTGGGGTTTTGGGGTTTTGGGG